ATATTGTAGTTATGTGTATATGTATTTTATTAATTATAAATAATTTTATTATATATATATATATATATATATATATATGAATTTATATGTATATATTAATTTAAATACATGTAGATGAATATTTGGACATTTAATAATATTTTTGAATGATGAGTCAGCAGTTTTTTTACTGAGTCAACAGTTTTTTTTGCTGAGTCAGCAGTTTTTTGCTGAGTCAACAGTTGCGTTTGTTTGATTTAGAAAAAATTTAAAAGTTTGGGTATTTATGTGGGAGTTTTGAAAAGTTCAAGTATTTATATGATAATTTTATAGTTCGGGTATTTATTTAAAATTTTTGTAAAAATTCGGATATTTTTATGTGATTATTCCTTATGCAAATCCTCGGCTCTCGAGCTTCGTTGATGGATCATATTGGCCCAATATGAAACGACAAAGCCCATTTAAGGCCCAAATAACTATTACCATCACACGTGCCATTTTTCTTCTGATTGAATCTCGCACGTGCGAAACAATTAACCAATTTCAACGGTACAATACAAAACGGCCATAATTTGTCGCCATTTCAGCATTTCTATTCCCTCTCCACCTAACTCCGATTATAATCCTCGAGGAATTCACTTTTGGGTTCAGTTGAATCGAGCTCGGATTTCGCGTTCATGGTGACTTTGAATCTCTCTGTGGTGATCAAGAACCCTAGAAACGACGCCGAGTTCCTGCTCGTGTTGCAGGAGCGGCCGCGGGAATTCGGGGAGGAAGAGTACGATTCCTACGTTGATTCCGATCTCTGGGACTTACCATTTACGAGGTTGAAGCCTTTAGAAGGAGAAAATCGCCGTAGGTACACTGTTTCTGTCGCGGAATCATGCTCGGATGAGGTCGATTTGGGGAATTTTGATCTGGAATCCGCTTTGAATCGGGTGAGTACCGGGTTGACCCGCTTTGTTTTCGGCGTTTTCTCCCCTTATTCCAGCGAATTAATGCTTATAGATTGATTCAGGTGTTGGCGAAATTGGGATTTGATTTCAGTGATGTGGGAGAGTGGAGATTCTTCAAGCGTGTGAAGGAGCCTGAGTTTGGACCTGACTCGTGCCTCCATACTTGTTTTCTCACGGGGAAGCTGTTAAATTCGGACAGAACTCTGCAAGGTGTGTCCTTTTTTTTACTGGAACGAACACAATCTCAGTGTCTCTGTTGATGGATTACTGAGTTTACCAAGTTTCCATATTTCTTACACTGTTTTCAATTTTTGTACGATGTGAAAATTTATGTTCTTGGTGATATGGTATGGTTGAACGAAAGCTTTGGCAGCAATAAGGTGAAAAGATCGATCAGTCGTATGAATTTTGTTGTATATATTCTGATAAAAACAAATATGCCCTCATAGTGTTTTGCATGATCACAAATTCCGTTCCTTTGTTTGTCTATGGTCATGCAGAGCACTGTAAATGGATGTCTATGGAAGCATGCCTGGAATATCTTGTAGATGTAAAACCTGGCAGTGATCGTGTTGGACCGTTAGTGTTTCTTGGTCTTGAGGATGATTCGGTTCTGTCTATGAAGCTGAAAAAATCACCCTCTTTGCCACTCCAGGTCTGTTGTTGCTGAACTGCCTAACCTTGTCGGCTTCATTCAATGACAGACTGTAATCCCATTTTATAATGTTGTCTTTTTAGTTTTGCGTGTTACGTGCCCTCTTTGTTTCAGGAGTATCCGCCCGGTGTTATGCTCGTGCCGATGCATAGCAGGACACAAAAACCATTTAAAACAACAAATCTGATAGTGATCGCACCGGAAAACGATCGTGGAGACATTCAAGGGACTGATTTTGTTGCTTCTGGAGATGCATTGATAGTGGATCCTGGATGCCACTATCAGCTACACGAAGAGGTATGTTGCTATTTATTGTATTTGATACGTAATGAATCTTCTTTTTGTTTAAATGGTTTCTCATGCGTTAGAAAATATTCGGTGTTGGTTTTGTGCTTCGTACTATACCCGAAATCATATGAGACATGGTATCAAATAGTGCTTTTGGATGCATTTTTAAAGATTGGGGGTTTACGTCTTAGTAACCGAAACTGATTATTACTTTCTTTGTATGGTCAGCTCAAGAGCATTGTTGCTGCTTTACCTAGAAAGCTAATTGTCTTTGTTACTCATCACCATCCTGATCACATTGATGGTAAGGGATTTGCCTCTCTGATATACTTTCTCCTCACGGAACTCTTCACAGTTCCATGATTACTTTCAATGTCTGAGCTGTGTGTATTTCTTGCAGTACACTTCTTGTCTCTTGAGATTTTCTGTCTCATCCACTTTTATAGGTCTCTCTGCTGTACAAGAATCCAACCCGGACGCTATTCTACTGGCGCATGTAAAAACCAGGGATCGTATTGGACCAGGTTGGTCGGCTTTCTTCCAGACAAATGATTCCGTTTATTCCTAGGATTGTTGAAGCCAATGATGTCTTATAGATGCATACTGTGCTATTACAGATTGTTGGTCTCGTGGCTATACCCCAGTTTCTGGAGGAGAAGATATCTATGTCAACGGTCAGATATTGAGGGTCATTTTTGCCCCGGTATCCTTTCTCATTTGTATATATGCTTTGGACAAGTCTTGTATTCGCTCCTTTTTGTTGAAAGTATACTTCAGTGAACTCGTCACGGAAATAGTTCTCTGTTTAATTCAGGGACATACAGATGGCCATATGGCGCTACTTCATCTCTCCACTCATTCTCTGATTGTTGGAGATCACTGTGTTGGGTAAGAAACCCCGAAAAGATTCTGTAGTTAGGCCGGTTCTTGATACCAAAACTATCCTATTTGTTTCATCATCTTGGTTGCCATATCTTATACAATTATGCATTGTTCTATCCTTCAGTTTCACAATTTATGCATTGATCTTTTTGGTGATTGTTGTTGTCTTTCAGTCAAGGAAGTGCTGCCTTGGACATCACTTCTGGTGGGAACATGACAGTAAGTGAAGATTGGAAGCTTGTAGTAACAATAGCATGCTTAAGCACTTTATGCTTTATATGATTCACTGGAGATTAGAGTTTTCTTTTTAAATGCAAGTTTGGTTTGAAGTCTTCAGAAATCTGTTTCCCTTTCAGGAGTACTTTCAATCAACATATAAATTCTTGGAGCTCTCTCCACATGTGTTAATTCCAATGCATGGAAGGATCAACCTGTGGCCGAAGCACATGCTTTGCGAATATCTCAAGTAATGTGACCAGTAGTATATATATTCTTACTTATCATGTCTTCCAATACCATAGACTATGAGTCACTAAGAGTCAGGGGAGATATCATGTCATATCAGTGTATATATCATTAATGGGTAGAGGTTTTTTTTTCTTCCAGAAATCGGCGGAGCAGAGAAGAATCCATCCTTAAGGCCATTGAAGGTGGAGCTCGGACATTGTTCGACATAGTTGCCCGTGTCTACGCTGGAGTGGACCGCAAGCTCTGGCTTCCTGCTGCTTCTAACGTAAGGCTTCATATCGATCATCTCGCCCGAGAAAACAGACTTCCAGAGGTAAACATTTTTCAAAGCGACACCCTTTATGAGTTTCTTCGAAATCCGTCCTCATTCGATTCAAAAAAAAAACCCTGGATTCCGACCTTTCCCCCTGAAAACAATGTAGGGTTTCTCTCTAGAACCCTCCAGTTCCAGTTGAAGAGAGAGATAGCAACGTATACACACGTATATAGAAAACCGAACAAGATCAGAACATGTCTGAAACTAAGAACAACAGGGTCTTTTTCTTTACATGGATTCCATATGCAGGATTTCTCGATGCAGGGGTTCAAAGGGACTTGCGGATTGCGTTTTGTGGTTAGATGGGGATTGGAATGTGTCGGAAGTCAGATGGGTAAGGCTGGTTTTGCTAAGTTACTGGTCGCTGGAGCTATTGCCTTAGGCTCTGTGTTGTATTTGGACAAAAGGAAGAAGAACTCTCTTTAGTCATTTATCCATCCACGAACTCAGCCATGTAAAAATAGAAAATAAGTCAAATTCCGTAGTTAAGTGATAAATGGTAAATTCATGGAAAATTACAATCCTTACCGCCTGATAGACTAATAGTGCACCTACACGAGTTGTAGGAGTGGTTATTTCGGGTTTTCGAATCCATAATGTTCGGTTTTTGGTTATTTCATTTTTATAAAAAAATTACTATCTATTCGTTTTTATATTAGTTTCGGTTTGATTTCAGGTTATAATATAATGTATTTTACCGATAAAAATGTTTATTTTTTAAATAAAATCTTTTGTTTTTCGGTTATAGTTTGGATTCGATTTTAAAAATAATATATTTATTCGAATTTTATATGGAATTTGATTAAAATATTAGTTTGAATTTTTATCCCATTGTTAATTAAATAACGAAATGTTTGACTCTTCGAAATCCACCTCATCATCCATATATCATTTTTTTTGCCATCTCATTATCCATATAGCATTTTTTTCATTCAAAATCTTTAATTATAGTCTCTCATCCTCCACCTCATCATATATGTGACATTCTTTTATATAGCTATTGGTACAACTAATTATGTTTTACACATTAGGATAAAATAATTATATTATTATGACAATTTGTAAATTTATCTTCAACCTAAACATAGTGAATTAACAATGTTATATACAATCCAACAAATGGTTGCGTTATTTTTTATTGGTTTAATTTTTTGCATATAATAAGCAATATGAAAAATAAAATAAAATAAACCAAAAAATTAATTGATAAAAAGGCCAAAACATCTACTAATGAATACAATTATTTTGGAGTCATTTACTTTTGGATTACTTAGCGGAGTAAACAAAAAATTATAAAAAAACGGTCCAAGATATTTCGGTAGCCCAACAATGAAAACCAACTAAGAGTAATTTATTTTATATTATAATAGAGATTTGATGGTGTATAGCTTGATACGTAAAGTTGGTATTAATTAATTTTTTGTTTTATATTCTAAAACCGTCAGAGATTTAATACTAATGGTTTAAATTTATTAAGAAATATTATATGTTACTATTGAATATGAATTTATATTGGAATATTAATCAATCTTATGTTAGGAACATTGATGGATAATAATTAAATACATAAAAGTTTCATAAATTCCAAACACATGTATATATTCACCAATACGTTACGTCCAATATTCAATGTTTAGTAGTTTTCATGGCATACAGGATGGATCCTGTAGCAGAGGTTGAGTCACAATACATATTGGAGAGGTCGTTGAATCTAACTATTACCTCATGCCGACATTCAAATTCGAACATGTACTCCAAAGTTCCGGTATTTTACTTTTAGTACCAATCCTTCTTCCATTTTATATCTTTTTTGTGGTTATCTTTTATAGGTAAGATGCATATTATCTAAAATATATGCATATATATACTCACCTCCTTCATTTCATGTTTCGGCGCCAAGTTCAAGAAACCTAAGGTACGGTTTTCAAATCCGGTGGGTAGGGTCATTTCTGCATCGTTTTTTAGGTTTTTTTCGTGTTTGTTTCGCAGAAGGATTGATAACAAAAGATAATAAAAGTGGATTTGGGCCTATTGGGCCATTAAGAAATAAATATATGTATATATATTAATATGATAATGAATTTTCAGCTAATTGTACTATATGTACTGCGGTACCAAATACGTAGCAGCGAATATTTTGGCAGCATGTGTACACAAATACCAATAAAGAAGAGTAATTAGAAAAACATTTTTTTTTAACTTTATCTTCTCTCTTCTTCATCTCATTAATTTTTCTTACTAGACTTGATCTCAAATCAACAAGAACAAATATTTTCTTTAAGCACACAGAAATATAGATTACATGAAATAATACAAAGATATCATAAATGAACTGTTTTATACTCTAAATCCGTACCTTTACTCAAAAATCGAAAACATTGTCATGTTCATAGATAAGCAAATAAACAAACTAAAATATTACTATGTAATATATTAATGCAATTGGTATAATTATTTCCAAAATATGATTATTAGATTATCGTTTAATAATAATAATAATAATATTATTATTATTATTATATTATTATTATTATTATTATTGTTGTTGTTGTTGTTGTTGTTTTAGTGGAAATATACTAATATTCTAAAAAATTTGTATTCATATAGAAATCTTTAATATTTGATTTATTCTATGTGGAAAACATTTATATTTTGACTAAGGAGTTTAAAACAATTTTATGTTTATAATATTTATATAGTTGATGATCATTTTTATAAGAGAAAATCACAAAAAAAATACTAAACTTTTTAATTTTGAAATAAAAAGACACTGAACTCTTGATTTTACCAAATAAATATTAATTTTTTAAAATTTATAAAAAAAAACAGTTAATTCTTCTACGATTGTCAAAATAAACAAACGATTTGACGTGATACAAAAAAATTCATACATGTCAAATTATTGTGGTTGGTTTTTTGGACAAATTGTATATAGTTCATATGTTTTTTTTGAATCATTTAAAAAGTTTAGTATTTTTTTTACAATTCCACAAAAATTTATATATTTTTTTGGATCAATTAAAAAGTTTCATGTTTTTTTAAACTCACTTAAAAGTTTAATGTTTATTTGATAATAACACAAGTTCAATATTTTTTCCATCAACATTGCAAAACTCCGTGTTTTTTTGGATTTTTACTTTTTATAATGAATTGAAATAAAAACTTTTTTTTAATATAAATAATAGTTGAAGGTTATTTTAAAATAGATTAAGACAAGATAAATTTAATCGTTTCTTATATAATTTATTACTATTTTTAAAAAAATATTTTTATACATGTAATAAAATTTAAATTTAGATTAAATCAATTAAATCAAAAAAATGTATGGACAAAATTATGTATGTATGTTTGTACGTATATATATGTGTGTATATACATATGTATGTATGTGTTAAGTTATTTATTTATTAATTTTATTATTTATTATTTGATTATTTATTTGTTATTTTTAATACAAAATAAATGAATATTTTAAAGATGTAATAAATTCCAAGTTTAAAGTGAGAATATCTTTAAAACTGAATATGCTAAAAAATGAATAGTTATCAGTTTTATAAATATAAAAATATAAAATTTAAATGGGATAAACACAAAAAAAAATTTTAACTTTACAACTTACTAAAATTTAATCTCATATTTAAAATTTATTATTTAAAACTTTTACTTATACAAACTAAGTAAAAAATATCATTAACAGATAAACTAACAAATTGAGTAAGCATACATTAAAAAGATATTAAAAAGATATATCAATATTTTCTATTTATATTATATACTATATTTTTTTGGTGGCAAGAATTGCTTTATCAAATTTATAAAGAATTATTATTAAGAACTTAATTTTTTTAATAATGATTTTTATGATTTTGAAATAAATTAGTGTTTGATGGATCTGAATTAACAAATTAAACTTATTTTAATTATTTTATTATTGCTCAATTAAAATACCAATAAAGACATAAACAAAACATACATTATACGATATTGCAGAAAAATTTTCAAATTACTACCAAAATTATCAGCTTAAATAAAAAGATTCATATTCAACTATTTTATATGAAATTTGTTTAAAATAATTGATGTTACAAATCATACAACTTAGTAAAATAGTGAAATAGTATCTAAAATATAAAATTTACAAAAGAAAAATTAAATAATCATGATAAATTGTTTATAATATAGGTAAAAAATAAATAAATTAAAATAATTTTATTTTTTAACTAATTATATTTACAAAACTTTTTAAACATGATCATGCCAACGATTTTTCTATATAGATACCAATATTATTATACTCAAATAATTATTATAATTTTATCGAAGTTTGTCTTTTATTATACATATTGTATTTATATATTTATTTATTTATTTTGTATTTGATTATTTATTTAGTTTATTTTAAATTATATATTGGGTTATGAAATGTAAATTAGATAGGTATATCATATTATTATAATAAAGATGGACACAAATTGGGTACGAATATTATATTTCTATATTCGTATCTGATTCATAGTTTTCGAATATTTGCAAATTCAGATATCCATAAAAAACACGGATATTTACAAATATCCGTATTCGATATAAAAATAACAAAAAAAAACAAAAAATCAAATATCCATATATACATATATCTATATATATACATATACATCTTAGAAAAAAATAATGAAAATCGAAATAAAATGGTCAATAGGAGGCCAAAAAAATGAAATAGTGTTAGCAACCAATTAGACATCATCCGTCATCATCCATCGTCATTCCAAAGACAAACTCTCCCATTGAGTAAGTGTAACTGCTAACGAGTCAGGATTCAAGAGTTTCACTCCATTAGAAATTTATCCGCACTCTCTTTCTTTTCTTTGAACGGATTCAAGAGCTTTTTCTTTGGTCTAGAAATTTCAAATAACAATCAAATAAAAAAGAAGCGGCTAGGTGAGAAGTAAGAGAACGTCGTAGGCTCTACACGCGTTTCGGTCTCTTTTAACATAAATCTATTTAACAATGATTTAGCTACAAACAAACATCTGAATAGCAACAGGAATCGAAAACAATGATGGATTGAGAAAGTACCTTATCACTTAATAAATCATCGTAGAGAGATTGAAAGAATAGTAAAGATGGTGGATTATTAAAGAGAGAGAAAAAGAGAGAGAAGGGAGAGGTGCATACAAAAGTGTTAGAACTCTTGAAAAACTGTAAGAACTCTTGAAAAAAGATCCTACCATATTTTAAATTTTTTATTTTAACAAAGTTACCTTTATATATAAATTAATTACCAAATTAATTATATATACTTAAAATTACAAAAAATACATATCGAATCAGATATGTGGATAATTTTATTTTGATATGCGTATCCGATTCGTATCTGACAAATATTTTGAAACCAATATTCATATTCGATCCGTCAACTGTAGGTATCCGAGTTTTCGGTTCAGATACGAATCGAACAATGGATATGATCAGTTTTTCGGGATATTATATCTATCCCTAGATATATAGAATGAGTTGAATTTAATTTTTTCCTTTAATGATATAGAACATGTTATTAAAAAATTAAAAGAAAAACTTTTAAAATAAAATAAAATAAATATAAAATTAAACAAAAAATTTTGAAATGGATAAATGAGTAATTAAAAATAAAACAATAAAAATATATCAAAATATAATTATTTGAATAAAATTTATTTTTATTTTAGATGTGGTTTATTGATTTATAAAATAAAAATAGATAAATAAAATATATAATTATAAAACAATTATAATAAAACTAAATGATAAGATTTTAAAATGGAATTAGAGAAAATAAATTGGTGAATGAAAGATTCATACAATTTGTTATTATTTTTTTAATAAAAATTAAATGCAAATTTATAAAATATAATAAATTTTAAATTTAAATTACATATACCCTTCAAACTAAATATACACAAAAAAGAATCGTTATTAGTTTTATAAAAATAATAAGTATTAAATAAAAAATTAGGAATAAAACATTAACAAATAAATATATGGTTAGTAGAACATTGATCAAATATAAATATCAAATAGTAGATAGTTTAATAAAAGTTAATTTATTGGTTAAATATAAACATGGACTAAGAAATAATTTAATTAATATATATACATATGTGTTTATTCGATTTTTTACTTTTTATATGAGTGAATTTAAATTAACTTTTACAGGTGAGAATGACATGACTTGGTAAAAAAACATCTTAAATACTGATCCATATATATATTTTTAATAAATATTCAGAAATCTCAATCCACTTAATTATTTAGTTTGTTTATTCGATTGCATATTTGTGTAGAATTATTTTACGAAATTAAAAAAAGATATATGTATATAAATATATAGAGAGAGATCCATAATATTTAAAAAAGAACTATTTATAAGTTTTAATAAAATTTCAAACAAAATGCCCCATTAAATTTTTTGTATAACCCTTCTTTATTTTTTATTTTTACTTCTTTTTTATTTTATATGATTTTTATTTTAAACAATTCTTATTATTTTGTCCATTTTTCCTATATAATTGTCATGCAAATAAATTTGTTATTATACATATTTATTTGATTTTCTATTTGATTTTATAGAGAAATTAATACACAATCTTTTTTGAAAATTTTGCATTGACGTCTGAAGATAGTGATAAAATCTCAATCGTATCAAATTCTCGGTTAATCTTTTAATGTAAAAATAAATTGATTTGGATGATATAATCATTTTTCAAGTGATTGTATAATTTATTATTTTTTTTATATTTTATATATGTATTATTGTTACCTGATGAAATTTTTTTCAAGTTCGTCAATGTTAAGAATATATATATTTTTTTATATTTTTACTATGTAACTAATTTTTTTAGTAGAGAGAAACAAACAAATTAGATCGATATTAAGTATAATCAGAATAAATCATTGACATTGAATCGTTTATACAACAACTAACATATTTTTCCAACTTTTTTATACAAAGGTGAAGTTATAATATTTAATTTTATAGATATATATTTTATATCAAATAAATTGTTTATTTCATTTTATTATATTAATATCAATAAATTTTATAAAAAAAATCATAACAACCCGCGCTTTGCGCGGTCCTCACCTAGTAATAATAATAATAATAATTGGTGAATATTAATATATTATCATAAGAAGCCTTATTCAATAATGGAAAACTATTCCTTGCGAGTGTAACGGGACTTCCGTGTTGGAAACACACTAACAATTAATATACCAAATTATTTATTTATATATATATATATATGTATGTACATTTGGAGATGAACTATATAACACATGCACGTGTCTTAATATGAAATCAGTGGGAGACGCCACGATGAATGGACCGATCCGCGCATTTAAATTTGATTTATTTTTAGAATTAACATTCCATGAGATTGATTATAGTCTGATTTATTTCGGTCGGTCCATTCCGTCGTGAAATTCGGTCCGACTTGTCCTCCTTTCAAAGTCAGCTTTGATTTCGCTGGCTCCTCTCTTATTATTTAGTCATTACCCACATGCATATCCCCCCCC